GCACCACGTGGAGGTAAGTCTATCGCACACCCCATAATGAGAATATATGCCCGAATGAATTGAATGAAACGACGGTCATTTAAGATTTCCTAGAAGGAATGGAAGTATAGGAGGGGAGGGGAGGGGGGATATTGTAGGAGACTGGTGTCATGCTGGTATGTGGACTGGTCTCGACCATTAATAGGCTACTTCGTCTTCTCCTCCACCCCTCATCGTAAACACACCAAACCATGAAGGAAGATAACCACTAACCCCTTTCTTTCCACCCTTCTTGTGGTTATACGCTAGTTTTTCACACGGTTCCAATTGCCTATTATTTCCTCCCTACCCTATCTCCCTTCCACCCTTTCTTCCTCCCTCTCGTTCTCTCCAACTGCCCCACCCCCACCCCCCACCAACTCCTCCCCTATACACCTCCTCCTCCTCCTCTCACTAGTTCGCGCTCGTTCAGTTCACAAAGCCTTTGATCTTGCCGCGCAACTGCTAAAAAGGAGCAGCGGTCTATTTTCAATTACGCACACACACACCAAGCGTGCTCGCAAGGTAGAAACTCCACACAAGGGACGAGATAGCGCGCGCGCGCGTATTAACACTGCTACTATACACATGAACTGTGTGTTTGTGTTCATGGGGTGTGTTTATTAGTGTTTGTGAATGTGTGTGTGTGTATATATATAGACGGACGTAAGATTTTATTAACGCTTCGTAGAGAAATCATAAATGCGAGAAGATACTGAAAGAGAAGTGTTGAAATGAGTTGATCTCTTTTCCATCACCGATGCGATAGAACCTCCTTTCCAATCAAAACCAGAGTTAGTATGATACTTGAACTGAGGTCATCTCCGCATCTTTCAGTTATAATGAAGAGTTCAAGTGGTAACTGATGCATTTTAGGCCATTAATTGGATCGGATCAGAGTCATTTTAGAGATATGTAACCTATTTCCCACAAGGATTGAACTTTTTAAGTTAAATTTGTTTAGCAGACTAGTCCCAGGAAAATGTGCATAGTTTAGTTGTCTTTTAGTTGCCGGTAAATACGAAAAATATAATTAAAAGCTACATTTTGAATTATTAAACCATTTACTCGAATTCATCAGGCTTTTTTACCTATGAATCTCATTGACAGTTCATCACGTTTGTCTTATATATTTTATGCAAGAGAAGACAGAGTTGAAGGGTTGGCTCTGCAGTGTTTACTTACTCTTTTAAAATGGACTTGAATTGCAATTATGACTGATTTCCTCCGTGTACGCCCCCAGTTGATTCTTTGCAGCCTTTACATTAAGGAACTCGAGATGGGATTCAATAACGCCATCCCTGTGAGTGGAATTAGGGAGCTTTTCAGATCATACATTTTATTGTACCAAATGTATCGTGAGAAGTTCACATTTCTTGTTCATGGGAAATGATTGAATCATAGGCTTTCATTAAATTTAAATTGTTTTGTTTCTGGTTAAAAAATTGGACTTTTAAATTTAATCCTGGATTAATCCAATCAATGTGGAAATAACCGCACCAATAACAAACTGAGTCGATCAGAATTTGCCCAGCTCTCAGTCAGTAAAGTTCAACTTACAGTTTAAATGTTATTTTTAATAAAGTTCAGTATCCCAGTCATTTCATAATCTTTTGTTTGGTATTTTTATATAGAACATTATGAGAAAACTGTTTTGATATTTTAATCAGAGGTTAGCATAATAATCCGCTGCTAACTAAGACAATAGGACTAATAATGAATTGAAGGTAATAATAATAATAATAATCATGGTTCATTTACTTTATTGGGAAATCATTGAGTTTCCCACGAGTGGGTCCTAAGATTTCTTGAAGAGTTCGAAATTCCTGTCTGCTGACCAGTAGAACGAGTTTCAAGAGTTTACATTAATCTGTACCCATGAACAGGTAGTCATCTCAAACACTGTTGGGTTCACTAATTATAACATTTTTTTTCAATTTTCTGACATTTGCCCAATCTCGGAGACCGATGAACTTTGGCCTCTTTCAGGACTTTTAAGGGTACTCCCTGAGACAAATGTATAAGGGTTTTATTTGTTACTAGTCCAATTTATATCCATTTAATAGTTTTTAGAGGTATGAATGCAAGCTGAAGAAAGCTCAGTGTAATTATGTACTTCGAATGTTAATAACAATACTTTAAAGTCTTTTCCTGGTGAAAGAATTTAATAACGAAATTTTAGCGCCAAGAATTATCACAAAATATACAATTTTGAAATAAAAAATCAGATAAAATCTTGCTCTTAAAATTCATCATGCAACTTATTTATTTGCATAAAACCAAAAGCGTTTATTAACTAAGGCCATTAAATTGAAGTTTCCACAAACTTTTGAACAAATTTAATTAGTCAATCAAAGAGAAATAAAAAGAATATATATCCTCAGTTTGAATGGCATTTGAGCTTTAATTGACAGTTATCGAAACAAAAGATGTTTTATTTTCAAAAAAAAACATAGAGATATTCATTGACCTTCAAAGTATGACCAGTTTTAATCAGATTTTGGCCAGATTATTCTGTCCGAAACGCCACTTCATGTTGGGCAATACTTTTTAATAGTGAGTCTCTAAGATAACTACAGTGTTTCAGTTCGAAAGACCAATTAATCTATGTTAAAAGCCTTTATTTATGCATGTCTGATATATTTAGTAAAATAATATTTAAAGAAAATAATCGTATAGGGGGGTCAATGTAGAGTTTCATTAATTATGCGCGTCATTTTAACCAATCACATGTGTGCGTTTGCGCGCACCAATCAGTGTAGTGCGAGTACTTGCAGTTATGATCGTACAAGTGTGTGATTGGTTAGTCAAGAGCGCGCAATACAGCTAAGTGTAGTGAAGCAGCATAGTTGATGCAAAATACAACACATACTCACGTACTACAAAAGCTCCAAATCGCTCATACACCAATACACACGCATTCGCACATACAAGAGAAAGATAATCCTTGCAGCGAGATCTAATTTGCTAATATACGCAACAAATGCACCACATATCAAACCACAAACAGCACAACAACGCATCTGCATGAACCAATTGGAATTCTATTACTGCTTCCTCGCTTATATTCTTCATTACCAACTGTCCTTCTCCTACTACAGGTATTCTTCTACTAAGTCTGATCTATTCGAGTGTGGAAACTAAATCAGCATCACCACTCAATCGAATTGGTCAAGTAAGTCAACTTCCTATTACTGTTATTACTACCATTTTCAAATGAATATATCCTTGATAAGGCTTGTTATTATACAAGCACAGGGTGGATTTATTGAGATAACTTAATTTAATTTGAGTAATAGAGGGTGTGTAGAAATTTATTTACGTTTGCATGGTATTGACGTATGCAGCACAACGAGTTTAAGTGAACACTTATATCTATTATCTAGGCCCTGTTTTCCTGTTTCAATTGTAAAGCCTATCTCTGCTCACTTTTAAAACTCCAATTTTGAGCATATAAAATGATAGGAAAGTGTGATTGACACTTTTACGACGGCAGAGATGAATTGCTAATTGCGCAAAAGGAAAAATTCCATGACCTGATTACTTGAATCTTGGTAGATCATGTTCAATTTCACAGATTTACTCCCACTTTAAACTAGCTCCCACCCCACTCCACCCCACTCCGCCTTCCACATTAGGGGAGATCAAGGGTGCTTACCTTTAAAAATTAATCAAATAAATGAAATATTGAGACGTTTAAGCAAACAAAGGCGGAGTTGCATCCCTCCTCAATTTGACACTTTTCTCTCAATTCGTTGACGCCAAATATGCTAAGTCTCCCTCTCTCTCTCTTTGAAGTACTCCACTGTAAGGTCCGTTTTTCTCACCAAATTAGTCAATGAGAGTTGAGCAAATTCACGTTCCCACTCCTGATCGATATGCTAATTTAAAGTGGTAAGTAGAGAACATTTCAAATATTGTATAAACACCAAAACTTTTGGTCAATCCAAAGTAAACGACCAGTTTTTTCATTTGCTATCACTAATATTACTGGAAATGTATTTAACAAGTTGAGTAAATTCGTGAGGTAGTTTTCCTTTATGCAATGCTGTTAACCCCAGTGGCCTGGATTTCTAACCATCTAATGATAATTTAACTGAATAGGCGCATGAAATTTGTAATTAATCTAAGTTATAAACAAGTTTGAAGTTTTTTTATTGCTTGAACCAATGAAAACGTTCAATTTAATTTTTCTAACCGATCGAAAATTGCCTAAAGCCCCCCTCCCCTGGTTCTGGCCTATTTCTAGACCAAATTCGGTAGAAAGAAGAGGCTTCTTTATACTTTGTTTTGGTTAACTTTGCTCAGCCTATTTTCTGTGCGAACTCTTGATGTCGACGCTATGAATCATCGATAAGGAGTGCTTTTCCTCGAAACTTCCATCAGTCATTCTGACGTCAATACCTTGCTAGTAAATGAACTCGAAGTATTCCAAGTTGACTGACCACGCAAGATTAAGTAAAGGACGATCGTTTCGAATTTATCGATTCGTGAGGGGGGGGGGGTAACTTTGAGTTCGAATCCCACTAGCCCACCTCTTTATCAACGATAATCTTTCAACTTAATACCAGAAACTTCCAAGGACAAATTGGCTTCAATTCAATAATTTACATATGTTATCACAAAATTTCAAATTATAGAAAGTTTCAAATAGGTTTTTTGGTAAAAAATTAATCGTAATTTTTAATACTGATCAAGTTTAATTGACAGAGCAAAATTTTCTCCTTCAAAACAGTAATAAAAGAGTAGGGATGGGGATATCTCAAATGGCTGTCAATCATTGTTTCAAAGGGCATAAACACCCCTTTAGGGATGTTCCTCAATTTTAGAAAAAAAATTAGATTATGCTATTCCACTACCTGGAAATTGGATACTTCAAAGTTCTATTTATAAGTAATTACGTTTGACTTGTTTAAACAGGTCAGTAAATATGATTCACATTTGAGTTTCAAATTGTGATGGCAATAGAACAACTCTAAGTGAATTCCTTAAAAAAACTAGCCGACAGAGGTTAGAGGAATACGAAATTGCAGACACTGTTTCGACAGTTCCATGGACGAAATAATAAGACTGATCTGCTATGAAGTGATTTCCAAAATTTATCCCTCGAGCCATTGATTAGGATCAGCCATTCTGAAAGTGGATGTAGCAGGGTGTCAATGCATACGCTTTGATCTTCACCGCTTCCATCGAATTGTAAAACCGAAATGGCGAGAGAGAGAGAGAGTCAACAGGGGAACCGCTTTTGTTTGATCTCTTCGAACTCTCTCCCTCTCCCTCAACCTTAGTAAAGTAAATTCAAGGGTTCTCAGAATTCATTGATCTCTGGATAACTGTTCTTTGTGATGATGATGATACGCTGAATTTACTCGTTAAGGAGGAGCGAGGAGATAATGTAATGACGTCGAAATTGTGCTTAAATCAGCTGTTATAAAGGAGGTTTAAGAGAGAGAGTGTGTGAGAGAGAGTGAGTGAGTGAGGTTTTAAGAGGGAACACGCATAGCTTGGTTTATCGCCGCTTTGTCTTTGTATAAGGTGGTGTGGTGAATGCCTAGTGGCTTGCACGAGCGAGAATGTGATGTGATGTGGCCGGAAAAACATGGGCAATAAAAGCTTAGATGCCGACGGACACGCGGCCGAAAATTGACCAGCTTTGATCTTCGCCGCCAGCAGCTGCATTTCTCTCTCGCTCGCGCCCTCTCTCAATCTCTCTCACTCGCTCTCTCTTCCCAATCTCTCTCTTTCACTTCCTGCTTCACTTCTCTTCGCGCGCGTAGACATTGGCACACATCGCCTTCTTCCCATTACCACTTGGCTTTCTGGAGTAGTTCTCTCCATCACCTTTTTTTCATGAAACCCACCTCCCCCTCCCCCACCCTCCCTCCCTCCCTTCCTCCCAAATCAATTCAATTAATTCAATTTGCAATTAACTTTGCAGTTAAACGCCCCATTCTGATTTAACTTGATAAAAAGGAGGGAAGGTAGCCTTTTATTTTCAATAGTTTAACTTTACTACTAGGGCTTCAACTTAAATTACTTTAGTGACTCTGTTTTGGGCCTTCATTAATTTGATATTCATTTTCTTTCATCAATTTGCTCATTTATGCCTCGAAATGCTTCGAAAGTGCTCATCCAAACGCATTATAGTCAAAAGGATGTGTCTTCTACCTCCTTTTTATCGAATAATCCTTTTTCAACACGTCTGATTTTTTTTATTTCATGGAGAGAAGAGCACAAGGAGAGTGGAATTATTTGCCAATTAGGCGCCTCAATAATGCGACTCGATTTCACGATGATATTTTCGAAACCCAGCCCAGCCCAGCCCACCCCACCCCAGTCCCCATACTACACATCATTCGTTCCTCACGATGACCATCCATTATTTTCTCACACCGCGGTCTCATACCCATATTTTCTTTCTTCTATTTTTCTTTGTCACCCATTGTGTCTATTGGGAGTGTGACGAAGTCGCTATCCATCTTGCCCTTTCTCCTCGCTACAATACGAGCGCGTGTATGTAATGTGGACTGCGCTTGGACGAATAAGGGCGTGTGTATGCCTTTTGTATTGACGAGGGTGGTATTAGTGACTAGGATGGGGTAGGAGGAGGAGGAGGAGGAGGGGATGGGTAAAGGAATTGTCCACCGTGACCCCCACACACATACACATAATCGTGATGGTGGCTGTTTCGCCGCTTTGATCTTTTAGAAGGAGGGCGCGCATACGACTTGGAGGTAGGAGTGAATGAGGAATGGACCACAATAGGGACACCCTATCTACGTATATGTACCTGCATGAACTTAATGCTGTTGGCGGTCGTCTATTTGATCCTGTTTGCATATTTCAATCACCTCTTCTCATTCCTCCCTCCACCTTCACTTCATTTAAATTTACCAGAAAATCGATTTATAAATGGCGATAACTTTCCTCTAACGAATTTAACAAGAGGAGAGGA